AGTTGTACGGCCGCACCTCCCAATCCTGGCGAGCAGACACGCAGGCATACGATGACGCACAAAGCGATAACGTGTCCCACATACTGCACTGGTTAACATTATTCATTTCATGTCTCTCATTATATCATCCTCCTCTTTGCAATTAGACTTAATTGTGCAAATTTTTATTACTATATAAACTAGGTTTACAATCGGTGAATTTATTATACGGTGGTAAATTGAAGTATAACTATAACATAGTTAAAAATATTTGATTGGACCTCTATTGTGTATAGCCTCATAAAACTTTATTTTTTCACAAAAGATTGAAACAATTTTCAATTTTCTCTTCTCTGAAAGAAAGAGCACATTATGTTACGTTCAACAAAAAATATTTTTGACAACATGAAAAAATACACCATTTGAATTAACGCCTGTTTGACTCAATTTCCACCTGTAAAAGTATATCCTCACCATTGCAACGATTTTAATTATAAGGGATATTTAGTTCACTTCACTGATGCCAAAACGAATAAACATCTCTTCGGGTAAAAATTGTATAAATAAAATAAGGCCATGCACATGGGGTTATATATTGAATGGCCAATTCGAAAAATTGCTTAAAATTATTACCGAGTAGATTTCTGATTAATTAATTCATGGTTACGGGACTTCATTTTTCTCACAGTGATCACAAATAAACGTTACTTGAAAAGTTCCTTGTATAGAATTTGTTCCATCTCTAAAATCTAAAATCTCCTTCCCTTTAAATATAGCCCTCAATCCAAGTTCACCAGATTATCTACGTCATCGTGCCAGGCAACGTGTATACGAATTTGAAAAGTCCAGCGATATCATTGATAGACTAGCCAAAACAATGACCGTGAACTATATCCCTGAACAGCAAAGATCTGAAGCCCTTAATAAGCAACTGGAGGCGTTTCTTTCACTTCGAGATCAGACGGCAAATGAAAATCACCAAACTGACTTCCTTGGTGGCTGATGAAGAGGAATTGCCTTACTTTAACTTTGATTAAATTGTTAGTTACAGGTCTATCTAAACCTGGTTTACTGGTTAAATAAAATTTTCAAATTAAAAGTGAGTTTTCTGAGCAGGATAGGTTACTTTTAAATTTGTTGGAATTTGCTCAGTAAGTAAGCCTTGATAGCAAAATAAGTAGACTTTAAGTTTTATAATGCTCTACAATCTTAAATGAGAAGTTATATCATCTTAGGGTATCATTTAAGTGAAGTTATTTGTACCGTTCGCTAAGTATGAATAAACTTAAGGACGTTTGTGAGACTTCTAAGGAAAGTAATTCTGAAAAGTTATCATGTTCATAAAAGCCCAAATTATTATTTGTATTCCAAATGCACACAAATTGCTAAATTTTTACGATTGCATTAAAAGTAAATATATCTTGATGAAGTAGGCAACAGCATAGTATAAAGCTCTCAAACTTCAAAGGAAAGGTGTTAGTTATTAAACTGAAGGGAATTACCCTCACTTATTCACAGTATTCAGTGTAGGAAAGGCCCAAGAATGGAAAGGCTCCCAGAATTAGTTAAATTGTCTCAAAGTATGCTCATGCTAAACGTAATTAGTGTTTGCATACATTTGACAAAACCCTAATGAATTAGGTGAGAACTCCATTGGATGCACGAGCAACAACTCCAGAATGTTCGAGATTACTTTGCTTAATTGTGTAAGGATTGTGTACTTCGCAACATAACTAACAATATCCCTCTTATTTTCAGACAACTTTCATTAATTTTATTTGCTATAATAACTGTAATACCATCTTTTATTGATAAAATGTATTAACGTAGGCGCTTATTTGGGGTTAAAAGACAAAATGCAGTCTTATTGCTATTTTTTTTCTATTTATGACTGAAGCTTGACTTTCCTCATAAGGGTCGATTATGCTGAAATAAATGCCGGTATTAATGCGTGAAATAAATTCTGTTTTTTTTCAAAATATATATGTTCTTCTTGGGTGAAATATTTGCTTCTATATTATTGCCCAAGGGTGCTTATGCAAGTAGACGTTATTTGGTTCCAAAGATATTTTCATGAGATGGAATTTTCTGACTAACCGCCCTGGGTGGATTTTCAGAAATCCCTGGTAATATTCCTTGATATAAAGATTTGTTGCGCTCGAAATGCATTTATAAGGTAAATTTGGATCTAACACTCTCAATCCAAGAGTTTTCACCATTCTTGCCTTATCAGATTTCGTAGACATTCTTACTCTACTTTACATCTACAAGATCCAGTAATATTAGTGAGTTTTGGCCAAGTTGTTTACCATAAGAGCTATAACCCAAAGTTCTGAATGACACAAAATCATGCGGCAATAAGTTTCATTCAATTGGCACTGTTGGCATGTAAAGCTGAGTTAAATGCACGAAAACAACAGTCTGTTTTAAATTCATAAATAGAATGGAAGGATTATGACATTCTGTATAACTAAGGAAGGTGTGAATCCGACTGAAAAATTGGAAGACTGAAATCAAGGAATCTGTCATAGGGGAAATTATGATTCTTGTCGATTGATTTGCTTAGAGAACATTTTCTTATAAACAAGCACACCAGTTGCACTAAATGCTGCCTATTTCAAGAATAATGCTGAGTTTCACTAACCAAAACAACATTCCTCGGATTATATTAGAAAGTAAGCATACGGATTTGGTCCAGACTTAACGATTGTTTCTCCAATTTCAATTTTTGTCACGCAGCTATTAAACTCTTTTTTTAATAGAGAAGATACTAGAGGCATGACATAGTCATCGAGGTCACCAGAGTTCTTTTTAAGTGGACTCTAATAACCTCAATATCCAAATAATTCATATTACATATCTCAAGGTTGTCACTCATTCATAAATTCAATAATTTCTCATTTCTATGGTCGATATTAGTTCAAAATTCGAAATTTCATTTATATCGCCTTTGACAGGAGTTAATTTAGAAAATGCATTTCGAACCCACCAGCGCGGGAACATCGGAGTGAATTAAAATTATAACCCCTGAAGTATAAATTTTGTTTGCGGAAGTTAAATGTGAAAATTTAAAAAAAAAACAAGAAATAAATAAATAAATATACTTAATTTTCATAGTTGTTTAAAATCAAATCAGATCACAGTACATAGGGGCGAAAACTACCAGTCCAATCAATCTCTCTATCTTATATCTGGCGAGTTAAGAAAAACAAAAATTCGTACTATTCGTAAAAATAATAATATAAACATATATGACGCTCATAAAATATAAATTAATTATAGAATGATACATTTTTTGCAACGGGGTCAAAGAATGCCAAATATTTGGAAGCGGATAGAATGTTGGAGCCACTTACAGCAGATATTTTACTAAAGATTAACTATTATTGCATTTTTATAAGTTAGTTAGTTTATTTCAAGCTAAAATACCTCAAAGGAAACAAAGCGAATTAGGTGAGAAACGGGGTTCTTATCTTCATAATGGTGAACTTTGCCCAAAACTGCGGTTTCAGTAGGACGTATTTTGCTACCATAATTCAACTTGAAAATCAACATACGACCTACAAAAATAGTATTGTCATATTTTGACACATGTACATGTAAAGGAGCTCCGATATGGCTGTCATAGCTGCTTTACTTCAGTAGAAAAGAAATTCAAAATTTATGAGGTCAGGAAAATCTGAGGTCAGCTTAATGTCCTCGCAAAACCTTCATTTGTATTTCCAAACTGCCCATGTCCATAAATTTGGCAATCACAAAGTATTTTGCATCTGTGAGAATTTTTTACTCATAAAATTCTATTTAGTGATAAGTTCAACGGCTGGGTGCGTTTATTAAGGGACATAAAGCATTAATTAGATGCACAATAAAAAATTCTTTAAATTAATTTTTGTGCGTCCTTTTGACGACCAATCAGAAAGAAATATTGTGTGAAGGGCAACAAAATCGAACAATAAGTTTAAAAATGAAGGTTCGGCTGGTATGCGAAACCGATTATGAATATTTCCATTCTAACATTTTTACAATTCATTTAATGTACATGCTAGCAGAGAAAGCATAAATCGAAGGTCAAAATGTGGGAAGACACCATCAAACATTCACTTGAAAGAAGCGATTTGTCTGATGCATATATCTCTTGTCCTCCTTGAGGCAAAGTACCAGATGATTGCACGATTGAATATATTGAGAATACATCAGCATAAAAGGCGTTATTATATCAGCATGTATTCTTTGAAATATAACAGAGGAATGCGTTTTAATACCAAAGGCTACTTTCAGTAATTCAATTTTCTTTGCAATGGAATTTTTAGTAGGCATTGCTAATCCAAAATAAAGCGGTCCAATGTGGTCTCAATACCTCGAATAATATCAATTTATTCATGAAAGGGTGTGCCATGGCCATTGAACAATTTTTTCAAAAAACACGCACATTGACAAAACAGAAGTTTAGTATTCTTGATTTTAAATCGTGAAAATTGTGTATATTGCATATTTTTTTTTAACCAAAGGATTTGCTCTTCGAATTGACCTTAAATTCCCCCAAACTAATGTCGAGTTTACAGTTTGCATTCTAGACATTTATTTATATAAATGGCAGGCGTTCTGATAGTTATCATTAGCCCTTTAGTTGACTTCAGGCTTCACAGAGGGGAAGGAACATCAAAGTGGAAAAAAAGTCGAGAGGGGGGGTGGAACAGAAGAGTGCTTCAAAGACGAAGGTAGAAAAAAGGTGAGGTGAGTACTGTGGAAGTAGTCGAATATGGCATACAGTGGGGTCATGGCAGTTTGAAGTCAGAAGCCAACTGTCCATTGATAGACTTTTTTGCCGTATGAGTATACGTTGCCTAGGGTGCACCACGTGGAGGTAAGTTTATCGCACACCCCGCATTCTAGACAT